GTACATGCCTAAAGAAATTTCCTAAAAATCGCATTAGCATCTTGTTAAACACTAGATTATCGCTCATTAGCGAGTACATTATACCTGATAGAAGTCGCCGGTTTATCCAGAGGAAGTTATATGGAACAACCAGTTCCATGGAGAACTCGTCGAATTTTTTGGGCGAACCAGTCTCTCTCGATATCCACGCCTCGCGGATACCTGTAGAAAAAGGCGTAACGTCGATACGCGATAACCGTAACGACTTATCGATCGACGAAACCTGCTTCCCACCGGTCTCTTCCTCTCTCTCTCTCTCTCTCTCTTTTTTTCTCCTTCTTTCTTTCTTATTCGTTACCCTTTTCTCTTAATCCGTCTGTACGTTCCCGAGGCGGTCTCGGAGACGCGAAAAACTGATAGAAAGGACGTTACACGCGGCCAAGTTTCGCGGTGGCGCAGCAACAAGATAAACTGAACAAGTTATCGGCTGCGGTTACCTGCGGTTACTGTACGCGCATATGGCGCGCACCGGTCGATTAATGTCGCGGCCACGGTCGCTACACGATTTCCGTTCGCTCGAGCGATTCCTCGATTGCCCGACGCACACATAGACAGGTACAGCCGCAGAGAGAGAGAGAGAAATACCTCTTTCACCTCTGTACAGAGGCAGTTTTGCTGGAATTACGTCTAAGGTATGATGCATTTTACCGCTCGGTCAGGAGACGCGATAATTGCATTGTAACGATTAATCTGCCGCGTGTTGGGGACGGTGTGTGTAATAGTTTCGTGGGTTTTGTGTTGGAGAGGAGAGAGATGTTTCTTCGGTTGATCGGTGAATTGTACGAACGAGGATATTAACACAGATTTAAATGTTGCTCTCGGGGAATTGGCATTATTGGACTGCGGTTTTTTTATGCAAATTCAGATTTTCGTCATAATTCAGCTACGTGAAGTCAGCTACGCATTACCGCGCAAAGATAGTTCCTGTGTTTTTGTTTACTATCGATTTTCCTCGCGATAATGTACAAATTTGTTAAGAAATTTTTAAACTTCGGAAACCTTCTCTACTGCTCTCGAGACGCTCGCGAGATGTTTGACGGCGACAGGAGAATATCGCCGAGAGCGAAATATTCCGCGGTTGGTGACAATCGTCATATGCGCATTATTCCGCTAACGAAATAAATTTCAAAACTACACGACTAAAGTGAGAAATTTCCAGCGGTGATTAAAAATTTACCATCGATCACCCGCGTTACACTTTAAAGTCTGCCGCAGCAGCGAAAGGGTTGAGAATCCGACTCCTTCTCTTCCAACTCCGTCCGATCAGTTCGCCTCGAGCAGAAATCATCTTCGAGCCGGATTTCCATGCAATTACAGGAACACCAGGCTGTCAAGGTTCAGTATCACCGAGGGTCTGCATCCATGGAGATGAAAGGGGAGCGACCAGAGTGGAGGAGCCGGTGGCATCCCCATGGAGCGCCTCTTATTTCCTTCGTTCGTTCGTCGTTCCTTTCTATTAGCTGCGATTTCAAATTCTCTTCAGCGATATTGCACAGCGTTTGCCCGTGGACCAAGCGTCTTCTTCCCTCGCCTCTGGTGTCCTCTTTCTCGCGACGACACAACGAACCTCCGCCTATCTCGCTTCCTCCCTTATTCTCCAGATATACCGCCGTTACTCCTCTTCCTCGCGCTACTTCGCGTTGCTAAATAAAAGATTCAACGTTGAACGACGACTGCTCCCTGAACGCTCGTTCCTTCCACGCCCCTAATCTTTTCCCCACCGTGATTACCGCGACGAAATCGAGGCTAGCTCCGACGTCGACGACGTTGCGGGCGTGTGTTACCATCGAACCTTGCCGGAGGAACGCGAGAAAGTTTCGGCGTTATCGGATTCCTGTGTCCGACGGTGGAACGTTCCCGTCGCGAGACCGCTTTAGCCGCGGAAGTTGTTTCCCTTTCCGGGGGGAAAAAGAAGAGGGAAGAAATAAATCCTTCGTCCTCTTCTATCCCTCTACAGGGGATGTTCCACGCGTTGTTGTTTCTCTCTCTCCCTGTTTCTCTTACGTGTTTGCCGTGGAATTTTATTGTTCCGAAGATTAAGAGCTCGTCGAGAGTGGTTACACTCTAGCCGGTGTCGAGGAATAGAGGGGCTCGTTTAACGAATTAAGCATATATCGTTTTATCGAGACAGAGGCCACTTGAGCGAAATCAATATTCCGGCGCAACTTCCGTGCCAACCGTGTCCCGCCTGCTGAAATATCCGAGGAAATAACGGAGAAGGCTTAGGCGTACGCTCTCGATTAAAAGTGACACGATTTTCCTGGTGAAATATCGACAGGTGATCGAGAGCTAATGGGTGAACGGGGGGAGATATCTGGATCGGTCACGGTTATCCGGCCAATTAGAGGAGAGCTAGTGTGTAATAAAACTTAACGCCGTGGATTAGAGGGGACGATGTGTCTTGAGAGGGTGTTTGGTTTAACGCACGGCCGAGCTGTGGATGTCGTTTTTAACTGTTTCTTTCGATTCAGTTCATTTCGTTTCACTTCATTTTTGCATTCTGAAATGGGGATTGGATGGAGTACTTTGCAGGCAGATTCGAATTTTGACCGATGAGCATTTGGGAAAATAGAAACAGTGCTTCCAAGTGTACTTAAATTGAATGTTTTGCGAGTTCTTTGAAGAAATAAAAAAGGAGCTATTATTGTTTCTTCGTGTAAATTATTATTTCTTTAAATTATTTAAAATTAGCATTTCTTCGCTATCTTTGCGATCAATTATGATAACTAAGATTATAAGAAGATACATGACTTCCATACGAGTGCTATAGAATTCTCAGTTCTAAAATTCGAGTATGATACTTGCGAAAGATTCGATTTTCCCTAACATCGAACTACATTTTCAACAGCCGCAGGTACTCATTTTAGGGTTGTTCTTCAACTTGTATTGATTTTCATATGAATTCATATGCTACAGAATTCTCATTTCCGAAATTCGAGTACAACACTTGCGAAAGATTCGACTCTTTCTAACATCGACCTACGTTCAGGGTTGCTCTTCAACATTGCAACTATACTAATTGAAACTTTCTTCCTCACGAGTGCTAATCGAAACCAATGCAACGAAACTTGGTTACCGAAAATTGCCTCGGATTCGTAAGTCCACGTTGAACACGATCCCGCCCCTAATCAGAAACTTCCGAGCGTTTTCTACGAATAACCACCCGATGTGTCTCTCCTTCTTTTCCCCCCGTTTTCGTTAATATTCCACACGCGGCGTAATGAATCATCTATCCCCGAGGAGACATTCTTGCCCGTCTTCGTTTCCCCCGGTGCATTTTCTGCATCACACGGATGCCCACGTGTCCTTTAACGCCTACTCCGTCGATCGAATCGCAAGATTTTCCTCCTGGATACTAATATCCGTTGTTAGAGACTCCTCGTGTAAAAATTCCTCTATGCACACACGCACGCGCGGTATTTATCGCTGCATGCGTGTAAATAAGTTTTCTGAGCAAGATCGAGGAGTAAATAACAATTATCCGCGAACGGTTATTACAACAGGATACGAGACGTCCAGACCGCACCTCAAGGCGAGACTATTAATCAAAACGGTCTGTAATTGAAACGAGTCTGAAACTTGCAAGTTCATCCCTCGTTAAAAACACACGTCCTCGTGACTATTGGAACGCTGCTTCCTGACTCTCTTTCTCTGTGTGTGTGTGTAAGTAAGTACGCGTGTCGATGCATACGGTAGCACGAGGAGAGGACGCGTCAATTTTATCAACACCTTCGACCTTTCTCTCGTCGAAAACGCGGCGTGCGTATCCGCCTCGAGGAGATAAAGATTGCATCGCTAATGGCCGATACTAGCCATCGTGCGTGTGTATGTGCAGTGCAAGCGACGGGCGCAGCCCTAACTGTTGCATTTCGTCAACAAGAAGCACCGGCGGCCGGCCGGTCGGCCGGCGCGATACGGCGCCGCACAAGTTATTAACGACAATCGATCTAATTTTAATCTCATCTCTCGCCCACGCTGCCGCGTTCTCCGGGGGAAAGCGAGGCGTCTGGTCGCGCGACCTCGCAGGGGACACTGCTCCTGCCGCGCTCCCATTGGTCGAGAGCTCGCCGCGCCAGCGGAAAGCTATCCCCACCGTAGCGACCGTCTACGACTACCCCCACTCCTGCGCCGCCAGACGAACATGGAGGGGGCGGAATAGTGGAAGAGACGGTAGTGGGGGAAGTTGATAAGGCGGAAGAGAGATGGAGACACCGTTGGTGCACGCGAGAGAGAGATGGTCGATATCGTGGGTATCGCGAGAGACGAAGTTGAAACGCGGCGATGTTGCTTGGTTGAAGAAAGATCGGCGTGTCTGCGGGGAAAGGAGAGAAAGTGCTCGGGAATGTCGGAGAAAGGAGGAGAGAGAGATTCGTTGGGTGGGTTGGAGAGAGATGGTGAATAGTGTGTAGTGGATCGACGAGAGAGAGAGAAGAGGTTAGAAGTCAGCGATGGGTTCGAGGTGCTTTGGATTTGTATTAACGCGTGGGTGGGAATTGGGAGTGTTTTCACTGTTATTTGCGGAAAGAATTGTTCGAGGTGCGAGGATATTACGTAACGTGTATTCTTCCGAGGTAAGCTGTCAGAATCCCCCCGTGGAATTGTCGATGAATAGTTACGTCCGCATTAACACGCCAGCCTCATCGATACCCTTAACCATTCCCTAATCCCGACGATAACTCAATTGAAGCCCCCATAAAAGTGTGCGACATACGAAAATTTACGATGCAAAGCTTCGAATGCCCATCACTACGGGTAGCGTGGTGGGTGCTTGCGGTGCGATGAAGACAGACGACACCGTAAGCCAGCCACACGAGTGAAACAAAGAGGATGGTAAACAGAGAGAGAGGCTAACAGTGGCGCGTGGTGGGAGTAGGATAGAGGGCGCGTGGAAAGGGACAAAGAGGAGCGAGCGCGCAGCAGGAAAGCTGCCGGGCGCCATACTGCTTTCGTTCGTTCGGCACAGTACGCGCCCAGCGCCTACGCGGATCGTCGCGGTGCTCGTCGTCCTCGTTTGTCGTCGCTGGTGGTGTACAGTTTTTTTCCTTCTCTTTCTTTTTCTCACCCGCTACGAATTATCCCCTTGTAAACCGTGCGTGGTTCGCCGACAACGAGAAGCCGGTCGAACGAGAGACACGTCGAAACGGAGAGAGAAAAAGGGACATCGTTTCAGTTCGTCTGCAGCCGCCACCGCCGCCGCTGCTGTCGCTGTTCTTTTCTCGACCGGCTCGCGAGCAGCGTGCGTCTTTCTCCACGGTGGTCGGACACGCATAGTGCTGGAAGAAGAAGAAGAGGCGAAGTACACGGGATTTTTATCGCTGCGCCAACAAGACTGTGCCTCTGTGACAGCCTCTCTGTCTGGCTTCCGGAGCTGGCCGGCTCTACGCGTCCCGCTAGGTGAGTGAACACGAACTGTATACCGCGCGCGGATAGGTTAGGCGTCAGCCTGTTCCTTGCTGATTTTCGCCGCTACTTTCGTGTGTCACCGGGGCTAGACAGAACACCGTAATCGTTCTGCAACGCGATTGTAGCCGGGTCGTGGCGATACCGGTTACGGTTACGACGCTTTTACTTTCAATCGAGGCCGACTCGGCCTCGAAACCCGTCCACACTTTCGGAACAGCTGCTCGACGCCCGGACCGCAACCAGTCTCTACCGGCCGAACGAAGGTTAACGATGCACCACCTTCTGTATGCCGGTACCACCATTGTGTGCTCGTAGAGATTTTCCTGTACGTTGTACAGGAATCTGTGTAGAAAGCAGTCTGCGAGAAGTTACAGGACAGTCTGTTTAATCCTCTCGACGATATTTTCCATTTTAAAGTGAATCGTTATCGACGATTGAAACAATAACCGAGTGTAATAACCTATAAACGTAGTAACGAAAGAAACTGATAGCATACGAGGAAACAAGTGAATATCTGGCAATTCGACGATCGTGTTAAATTTCGCACTATCCGTTCCTATGGTTTCGCTGACAATAAAACAGTGCAGCGATTGCAGGGAATCTACCGTTATCCGGATTGATTCATGCCTGTCGATGGGCCAATCATTCGAAAGACCGCAGTTTATCATTTCGGGCGGACAGGCTTGAACGTGTTCCATGCGTTCCTGCAAACATTCGCCCGGTTGTGTATGCCTTAATTCTTGGAACGTGACTCGAGTCACTTTGAACTTTTCTTATGTTATTGAACGTAGATACATACAAAGTTACGAACGTCCAAGTGTATCGCGAGGAAAATAAAGGGAATCGTCCATTCAAGCGAGATGGTCGATATTTTGAAGGCTATCGATACTACGTGAAACAACCATTCACTGGAAACTTGTATTAATTATAGTTCGAGTTCTTCCAATTTATACTTGAAACGTGAAACCCTCCAATTAGCTAAATCAATTACAAACATCGAGTTACTCTACCCAACTTTTCGTCTTCTATATGTGTTAATAATTATAGAAGTTTTTTTATCGGTGAAACAGTGTTTAACTTTTATAAAAATGTAGTATAAGATACTTTAGAATTTTCGTTGATATTTCTCGATCGAATTTACGCCTGCAGTATACAGTGTTAGGTAATTCGTAGTGCAATATCGATCAAAAATTAGTAAAAAATATAGAACAAAGTTTTTCAAATGCTTGCATAATTTCTACAAAAATTATTTTCAATATATAGTAGTCTCTCTATAACGCGGGAAATATAATACAAATGAAGTTCCAGGGACGTCTGTTTTTTGGTCAAATTAATTAACCCAAAATTCAGAATTTTTCGTTTTTGATCGCGTTACTCGAGACATTAGCAATATTTTTATCTCATAATTTATTGAATACGATATATTCGTTAGTTTAAACATTACACTATACAAATCGCTAAACTTTCCGAATTAAGGCAGCGAACGAGGTTTCTATGTCGACAAATGCGAACGAAAAGTGATCGAAACAGGGTGAACCGAGCTCAAATTCACGGGGCACCCGGTGTGCCGTATTTCACAGCAACTCGTTACTCCCGTTTCTAAAATATCTGTCCACCCTTCCTGCCCAGAACTTCCTGTTTACTTGGCACGGGTTTTTCCCTTCTCCGCGATGTTGCATCGATCTCGTTGCCATCGAAAGTGAAACCACCTCCGGTGCTTCACGTTTGCAAATCTGTTTCACCACCTTCGCCATTCCGTCTTACGAACTTCTCGGCCGCGATTTGCATTCTATCGCTGTTTTCTCGCGATTCTCGTTTATTCGTCAGGCGAGGAGTAATAACGAGCTTGTGCACCTTGGTTCAATTGCAACGAATCATCATTTCCATAAAGTAAACACCATCAACGGCTCATGACTATTCATCGGATATTTCCCTAATGATCAATTTAAACGATAACAGAATTTCTTTTTTAGCGAGCCACACAGAGTGTATGGTTCAACCGGGTGTTTTATTGGTTAGTTCGGAATGTTCGTAACGAAATGTTGAAAGAATTGAAACTGATATATCTCTGTTTCTAATTGAGATAGCGACGAAAACCAAAAGGTGCTTTACTCGTTATTTGAGGACGAACCCAACGCACTCCTCGAATTATTCATAAGGGAAGTGCATACCGGGTGGTTCGGAAAGTTCGTAACGAAGAATTCAAAGTGATATATTTCTGTTTCTAATTGTGATAGCGACAAAATCCAAAAAGGAATTTTACTCGTTATTCGAGGACGAACCCAACGCACTCCTCGAATTATTCATAAGGGAAGTGCATACCGGGTGGTTTGGAAAGTTCGTAACGAAGAATTCAAAGTGATATGTTTCTGTTTCTAATTGTGATAGCGACGAAAAGCAAAAGGTGCTTTACTCGTTATTTGAAGACGAACCCAACGCACTCCTCGAATTATTCATAAGGGAAGTGCATACCGGGTGGTTCGGAAAGTTCGTAACGAAGAATTCAAACGGATATATCTTCGTTTCTAATTGAGATAGCGACAAAAACCAAAAAGGAATTTTACTCGTTATTTGAAGACGAACCCAACGCACTCCGCAGATAAGGTGAACAGGGAAGTACATACCGGGTGGTTCGGAAAGTTCGCAACGAAATATAATGAAAATTTCAAACTGATATATCTCCGTTCCTAATCGAGATAGCGACAAAAACCAAAAAGGAATTTTACTCGTTATTTGAAGACGAACCCAACGCACTCCTCAGATAAGGTGAACAGGGAAGTACGTACCGGGTGGTTCGGAAAGTTCGTAACGAAGAATTCAAACTGATATATCTCCGTTCCTAATCGAGATAGCGACAAAAACCAAAAAGGAATTTTACTCAATATTCGAAAGCGAATACTCCCAAGGCGAACTATATTTTCCACCGCAGAGCGTTGTCACGAAAAATTCAACATCCACGCTCCACTGCAAGAAACAGTTGTTCATCTTACGAATAATTCAAGCAGTGCGTTGAATTCGCCTTCAACCGTCGGCAAAAATACCCCTAAAACTTGAATCGCTATGTCAATTAAAAACAGAGACACGGTAGTTTAAATTTCGCCAAGGACTTTCCGCACAGCCCAATAGTAAACTCGTAGAATTCTTTTCCGACACCCACGTTTTCGGTTCAGGTTCCTTTTTTTCATACCTCCTCATTGTTACGTTCACCTTTTTATAAAAGAACGTTGACGTTTATTGTGAATCAACCCGTGCACACGGTCCGCGGTGCGTTAATCGTTTTGGAAAGTGACCGTGGAGCCGGGAGTGTATATAAGGCCAGGCAAGGATCCATGAAAGCCAGGTTCTGGTTCTCTCTCTATTCTTCGTCCTCGGCCGACGAAGGCACATATACCCAACCACCACGCCGGTAGCAGATGTTTCTTGCGGGACAGGAGACACGAGTCCTCCGCCAGGAGTCCCCGTAACAACGGGCTTCTCTTCTCTTGCTCGAAACATGAATTCCAAGTTCTCTGGACCCCTGTGCATTATGCATGCCGCGAGATCTAGCAAATATTACCATAAGTCGGTGGCTCGTTCATCGGAGAGCACTTCCTTCGCTCCGTTTCTGTCCTCGGTAACGCCGTTCTCTCGTCGAGATCCAAATCGAAATCGTCAAGTTTCCGCGGAAAGAATTTGGCTGGGACTGTTCTGCGGTGGTGGTCGGTTTTGCGGCGAACTGTATTCTTCTTCGGGAGGTTTCAGTTTGTTCCGAAGTTTCGGTGAGAAGAGTGCGACGGAACGTTGCTTAGGTTGGAGATAAAAATTGAAGTATCGAGGTTTCGGGGGAAAATTGCAGCGGAACGTTTAACACGTTAAGCGCGGCGTCAGTCCGTGGTGACTGACGGTGAACTTTCCGTTTAGGCGGCGTCGGTCCGTTGGGACTGACGGTGAACTTTTCGTTTGGGTGGCGTCGGTCCGGTGGGACCGGCAGTATCATGTTTAAAAAATAAATGTTACGCACGTCTCCTTTTTTTTGCAATTTATAAACACTTGTTCTACCAATCTGGATTGGTAGTTCTTCGTCTGAATGCCGTGTGAGCGCATTTGTTATCTTCTGTTTATAACCGAACAGCCCGCGAAGTGATCGCCGGTGTGCCGCCTAGACGGAAAGCAGAGCGAAATCGGCTCCGCGCTCAACGTGTTAATCGTAGGAAGTTGCTTAGGGTAAAAATGGAAGTCTGAGTATGGAAGTTTCAGTGAAAAAATTACATTGGAATGTTCAACTGGAGGAAGTTGCTTTTGTGGCGAGTAGTATTCTTGTTCGAGTTCATTTCGAAGTTTCAGTGAAAAGATTGCATTGGAATATATTTAATCGCCATAAATTACTTAGGTTTGCTAGTCAAAATCGAAATATAGGAGTTTGAGTGAAAAACTGTGAAAAGTTGCTTATGTTGAAAAAGTCAGAATTTTTAAGTTTCGGTGAAAAAATGACATTAGAACGTATAGGAAGTTGCTTAGGTTGAGAGTAAAAATTGAAACTTAGAAGTTTGAGTGAAAGGAAAGGCGCATTAGACTGTTCAACTTTAGGAAATTGTTTAGGTAGTAAAAAAATGTTTATCGCCGAGCAAACGGAAGGTTAACATTGGCACCAATCGTGGTCAAGTAATCGCCTGTACTTCACTTCTTAGCGGATATTCTTCAAGTTCTGTTACACACAGCAGAGGAGCCCTCTTGTGAACTGTGACACCATGAGTGACGTCCTGGAGTGCACCAAGATGGATCACTTTCCTCCACTTGCAATTCTGTCTCACACCACTCTTATTCCTCTCCATGGAACAAGACTAATTTCCCAATCTCCAGACGTATATATAAACCTATCCAAAAGTTGAAGGTTACCTTAGAAACTTCTACGAAAAAGAATTTCAATCGCAAAATAATCAAGAATGCCACCTGTCGCACAATTAACCCTTTGCGCTCGAAGATAGCTATAGCTGAATTGCAAATCATATTTA